TGGAGGACCGAGGTGAGCGCTGCCCGCCCCGCCGGGCACAGGCACGGGCATCCCGCCCCGCCCCCCGCCGCAGGTGTGCCCTGCCGTGCCGTGCGCGCCTCCCCGGGGGCACTGCTTCACCACACCCCCGCCGGCTGGAGGTCGAGGCGGAGATGCCCCGTTTTGGGCTGGGGGTTGCGATGCCAAAGTGGGACCCTTCGGCGCTGGGCTGGTGTAGGGGGCCGGGAGGGGACGCACTGCTCTGGTTCAGGGGGAGTTACAGGACTGTGACAACGGGCTCCGTCCCCAGCCCTCCCCGCCCTGGGCTCGCAGCATCTTCTTGCCGCTGCCCCAACCCCCGGTTCCAGGAAAAGTTTCGGGATGATGATTTTTTTTGCCTGCTGCCCTTGTTGATTATATTGCTTGAGTCTTGCATTTTTAAATGGCACTTTTCACTCTGCTCCTTTCCCACAAACAGTGAAAGCAGCCTGGGTTATAGAGATGAAACTTTAATGCGGTTGGCTTCGGCGATTTTTGTCAGTCCCTCTGAGGATCCTTTGGCTTTTTTTCAAGCGGTCAGAGAGAAGTCGATGAGACCGACGCCTGGCAAAATAGATTTGTTCTTTGCCGGCTTGGTCTGAAGTCGAAGGGAGCTTTTTCCCTGGGTTGCAGTTGACTTTGGATCAGGCCCTTGGATTCATTTCCTAATTGTACAGTGTAGAAAAAAACCCCAAATTAACCCCCCCCCCGGCAGTCATTCTGACATTTTAAAATGCTATTTTAGTCCAATAGAAAAATACTGTAGTAAATCAGCATATGGGAAAACATCTCCTAAAATCACTTCACAGGAGTGCCAGTGTAATGTTCTGCAGCTTCCCCTCCCTCTTGATTCAAAACATATATGTATTTTTTTTTTTTTTTTTTAGCTAGAAATGGTGAAAGATAACTTTAAAGGCGAATATTCAGTGCATTTAACAAATACAACGTTTTCACTGTAGGGATATTTATGTGTTAAACTAGTTGCAGCAAAAATAATTTGGTACTTTAATTTCAGGGCGGAGAAATCTTGTCCATAGAGGCAATATTTGTAGCAAGGTCATATTTTGAGACCGTCTAAAATGTGCTGCTGTCACTTAAAACCAAACTCTGTTTTGTAATATTTAGTGAAAAGATTCAAAAGCATACCCTTGTGCATCTAGTCGCTGTATGTAAATGAATGAGCTGATGTAGCCTGTGAAATTATTTTCGTTCTACGTGTTCGGTGTATGTGGAAATGCGTTTGCGGAAATGCCTGAAGTCCCCAAGGACCTTCATAAAAAATGGCTGGATGCTTCTCATGGGGATGGAAAATGGTAAATAAATAAAAAGTAGGTGAATTATTTTAGGCAGGGAATCACGTTCCTGCTAACTGGGAATATGCCAGCCATTTTGACGTTCACGTTACAGTATAGGTTTCCTAGCAGAAACCGTTTGACTTCATGAAATTAAGGGGCTAATCTAATATGGTGCTAACCTTGCTTTTGGGACTGAAATGATAAATAGCAGGGACCAGAGACGAACTCTGAAAGTTTTTCTATGTTTTATGTGATTTGTAAACACTTATTTATGTCTTGGACTTAATGGCTGCAGCTCACTGTTACCTGGGAATTGGGTGATGTTCTTTAAAGAAGGAAAGGTTCAGGAATGGCTGTTTGCCATTCTGTCCCATGTTGATTTTAGCTTTGAAGTCTAAAGCTGAAGACAGTCGGTAAGAGGTAGCTTCCTTTTCACTGCTACAGAATTTGGATCTTAAAATAGAAACCTGAAGGTAACTTTCTCCCCTGACAGTGAGGGAAAAAGACCCACAAGGAAACAAAGAGAGAGGTTCTTTATTTCCATTATTACAACAATGGAATTTCACCTTCATCTCTAGATCGGTGGGTAGATGCTTGCATCACAGAAAGTCACCAATGAAAATGTGCTCAGCTGTCAGCAGCGGCAGCAAACAGGGCAGGTGCTGAATGGATGTGTAGAATAAACTGCACCTCCAACACTTTTGGTAATCCCTCCAGGCAGGTGTAGGTAGGCTAGATGGGAAGTTGATATTATTACTAACCTTGCCCTACCTGTCCGGTGAAATCAAGACAGGACTCAAACCTTCAGAACTCTTTCTGGTACTTTTCAAAAGCATTACAAATATGTTGGGAGAAAATAATGTTTACAACATAACAATTAAGAAAGAGACTTCCTGTTATTCTGTACAATTTTTCCTATGATTCTGTTTCAGAGCCGGCTTAGTCTCTTACTATTTTTTTCGCACCTCCCCATGCATATATGTGTTGGCAGAGTTTGACACATGGCGAGGCAGTGATTGAAATAGGATTAGAACTAAGAATTCCTAATGTTTAGGTTTGTGCTCAAGACACTGGGCCACGCTGCTCTCTATGGCTGCAATATTTAACTACAATAGCTTACAGTCCCACCTTTTCCAATATGTATGATCCCTGAGAAATGGAACGCCAGCTTAAAGGAACCGCTGGGAAAGGCTAGCTGGCTTTTACATTTCTTAAATCAAATATTGCAGAGAGTCTGTGAAACTGATTTGGGCCAGATTTGCTAGTGAAGGGGAATATATTTTAAATGAAATACATATCCTAATCAAAAGTAAAAGAAACGGTGTGGATTGGACAAAAGATGGTGTCTTCAAATAGCTAGCTGTTTTTTCAAAGCAAAATAAGACTTAACAAGTTTCATAGATTTCATAGACCTTAGGGCTAGAAGGGACCTCGAAGATCATCAAGTCCAGCCCCCTGCCCAGGGACAGGAAGTCAGCTAGGGTCACAGGATCCCAGCAACATAAGCATCCACACGATTCTTGAATGAGTCCAGAGTAGGTGCCTGCCCCACTTCTGGAGGGAGTCTATTCCAGGCCTTGGGGGCTCGGACAGTAAAGACATTTTTCCTTATGTTCAGCCTGAAATGGTCATGGAGGAGTTTATGACTGTTAGTCCTTGTTATCTCTTGGGGCGCTTTGGTGAACAGTTGTTCCCCCCAGATCCCGGTGCACATCCCTGATGTACTTATAGGCAGCCACCAAGTCACCCCTGAGCCTGCGCTTTTGCAGGCTAAAGAGTCCCATAGCTCACAGCCTCTCTTCATAAGGCCTGTTCTCATGCCCTCTGATCATGCACATGGCTCTCCTATCGACTCTCTCAAGGTGGCCATCAGGTCGCCCCTGAGCCTGTGCTTTTCCAGGCTGAAGAGCCCCATAATCCTCTCATCATAAGGTCTGTTTTCCTGACCTCTGATCATACGCATGGCTCTTCTCTGGACTCTCTCAAGATTCTCCATGTCCTTTTTGAATTGTGGAGCCCAAAACTGGACGCAGTACTCCAGCTGCAGCCTCACCAAGGCTGAGTACAACGGAAGAATGACGTCCTGGGATTTGCTTGAGAAACATCTATGGATGCAAGCCAGTTTTGCTCACTTTACTAGTCACAGCATCACATTGAAGACTCATATTCATCTTGTGGTCAATCATGACCCCTGAAGTCCCTTTCATCCGTAGTGCTAACCAGTATAGCACTGCCAAACTTATAAGGATGCTGCAGGTATTTCCTCCCAAGGTGGAGTACCTTCCATTTTTTGGTATTAAACACCATCCGGTTTATATCCGCCGAAAGAGTAGGAAGCAGGAGAATATCACTATTTTCTTTTACTAAATTGAATTGTTTCCTGGGGTTTGGCAGCGGGCTGGGAAGCATTCCACCCCTGGAAAAGCAGGGTGAAAGAAGAAAATGAGACTAATCCTGCAACCCCTGAAGTCAGTTGGGATTGTTGCATTGATTTCAGTAGAAGGAGGACCAATTTGCAGCTTGCTCTGTGATGCATCCTGTTGATGGGTCTCTCCTGGCCTTGCAGAAGCATGGACCCCCAGGCTCTAATAGGCCTTTTCCATCTTTGGCTGTGATGCTAAAATATGCCCGCTCCTGCTTTGATACTCTACATATACACTATATATTTTACTGCATCAGCAAATCAATCTCTCAGGGTTATGAGCTTTGTGAACTTGACACCCAAAATGATTATTTTTTCCCATGGGTTCTTTTAGTTCCATTCAGGAGCTGAGACCTAACCTGAATAATGAAAGTCGAGAGCTTTATCATTGATCACGTGGGTACAGGACCAGGAAAACTGTAGAGCCCATGTGCTCTCTTTGCTCCTGTCTTTGGTCCTTCTACCATTGCTGTTTAACTTATTTTACCTAAACTGGATAGGGTGCATAGGGTTTGGCACATAATGTACTGCGTGCGGTATAAAACATGAATAGCTAGTTTGGTTCTGAACTGAAATGGCTGTGTATTTACAGGGAGTAATGTAATTTTCACACCTCTTTGTGTATTCCTTTTCTTAGGTTTACTAGAAAGCAGCACACGGCTAAAACCTCATGAAGCTCAGAGCTACAGGAAGAAGGCCTTGTGGGTTTCCGGAGCCTCCATTATTATCACCCTGGCTCTTGCAGTGGCTGCATTCAGTGAGTATGGGGGTAGTTAAAAACCTTTAATCTTTCTTTTATTTTTGGGTGCTGGAATTTCTCAAATCCATTGGAGTTGTGTAAATTTGTTTAATTAAATCTCCACTAGGCTACTTCATATGCATGGGAATTTCTTTTGACTTAAAAAGTCATGGCTTTATGTGAAGCATCTATTTGATGAGGCAACTTAAAACAACACTGGGCCTTGTGTAGATTAATACAGATCTCACAACTGGAGCAAAAGCACTGGGATCATACTTGCTACAAAAGAATGAGGCTGAGGATTTCTCTGTCTGTGGAAATCCATCAAGCTGGTTTGTAGGTTTTTTAAAAAATCTGTTATTGGTGGGATTTTTTTTGTTTTGTTTAGATCATTCATGCCTGCCTGGTGGTTATAAATTAGTAAAGCAGCTGAGGTTTTTTTTTTGTTTTGTTTTTTTGTTTTTCTTGCATAAGACAGGGCTGTTGAAGGTCAGAGGAAGAAACAGGAGACTTTGATTCCTGTTAACATTTGTGCATGTGAAAAACTTCATTTTTCAGAGCAGTGTAAAAAAATCATTACACACTGGATGGCTTTTAACCAAGGAGGTCAAACATGACAAGTTTAGATCCACCTGGGATTTATAGCTGGAATTTTGTGAGGAAATAACAGTAAAATATAAGGGGAAAATGTGTAATTTGTTTTAGGCTGACAAATACCATAATACAAAATTAATTTGAGGGGTTAAATCCTAACCTTCTGATAAGCCCATATCTTCCTGGAGGTAAATTTTTAATGACATTTGTTTGGTTATGGTTTTTATACAAGGAATTAAAGAAACAGCATTTTCACTATGTGAAAAACTGAGTTAAAGATTGCTTTACTAATGGAAAAAGTGCTGTTTACTGCATTTAGACCTCTTAATTTAACGGCCACAACACTCTCCTTAATTCAACTTAACTGGCGATATAAAATTAAAAAAATCACATTTACTAACACTGTCCAATCAGAGTAATGTAGGGTCATTCTATACTTACAGTTAAATAAGGCCTAGAACAGGGACCAAAATGTTTGTAGTGGATAAAAAGACTTAGTTGGCTCTCTGTGTGTGCTTGGACTCCAGACTGTTTACTGCTCATTAAAAAAAAAAAAAGCGTTATGCTTCTAGCTAGGAGACAAGAGGCTTCTGAGATGTCTCAGGATGTCATCCTCTAGCTTGAAAAAGACAGACTTGTATTTTCTGGAAGCTGCAGCAGCATGTGTTTTATTATTCTAATCTGCAGTGTTGGACCTGCTGCTGAAAGTTGGTGTCAGCTCCCAAGAGGGATTATTAGAATCTCACCAAATGGTCTCTGCAGAACTCAGCATATATTATTAGAAGCAATTTATATGAAAAATACAGGACCAATAGGTTGACTTTAAAAAAAGAGAGTGTTTTAAAGCACAATATAGTGCATTATAGAAGATAAACATTTATAAGAAAATAGGACATCTGAGTTTACAGTGTGCTTTGCTTCATAAAAATTCAATGGGCTTTTTCATGCTGGAACTGTAAGAACACACTTGATTATTGTCTTTTTGGAGGAGTTTTGTTGTGATGTATTTATAAGGTGCTACACAAGATATAAGACAGGCACTTATAGTGTGTGTCTGTTTGTGTAAGTGAATAGTTCAAAGTAAAAGTGGTCCATCAGAAATGACAATTGTGTTTTCTTAGGCTATAATATAGCTAAAAGATTGTAATCACTTTTTTCCCAGATTGTTTTGAATAAAATAAAACAACTTTTAAATATTTCACTAAAATGTTAACTTGGTTTTACTTTATCAAAGTTGCAAGACGTAAAGACCAAGCAGACAACACAGAGCACTCAATCCTGTGAAATGTTATTTTTCGTAGAGTTAGTTTGAATAATTAAGTTACTTTAAAATGCACTTGGTCATCACTTCTTTTTCACAATAGCATGTCAGAAACCCGATTAAGGATCAGGTTCTTTTCTACTAGAGATGATACAGACTGGTAACAAAATTGGTAAACCCTGCCCTAGATAGATTGTATTGTAGGGGGCTCATGTTCACCTGGTATAAATAAAGAATATAACCAATAAAGAATATAACCACCTAGATTGAATCTAGGTGTTTGAAAGGCATCTTTCATCATGGTATCTAAGTGTCAAATTTGTAAAGTATTAAAAGCAGGTGCAACACATCTTGACATTGAAGGCCAGTACATGATTGAATAAGCAACTGGCATTTAATGAACATTAAAAATGTATTACAACATCTTTTTATGTCCTTGTTGCCTTTTTTTCTTTGTGACATCTGTAGTGATTAACTTCTTACTTACAATTCTTTCTAGGCACTTATTCTGGTAGCATTTTCTATAGCTTATCTCAGTTCAGTTTGCAATCTTCCTAAAGTCTCCCATCTTATTTATTACCAGTTCTTCTGTTTTATATTTTCTTTCAGCTATTAGCTGGTTCTTGTAGCCAGTCCCTGAACTGGGAGACAAGCCAGGTGATAAAAGGTTGCTGCCTGTTTGATATAAAAGGCTGGTTGTCAGTTTGGGACAGCTGACTCTGGCAGTCTTTTGCAAACACCTGCTATTTAAAGCATCCTGTTTCCTTGCTTCTTCCTGTTCAGATGGCTTTGTTACCATTTTTCTATGATGGCAAAATGTTAGCCACATGGACCTGATGCTCAGTTTCAATGAGAAAATGATTCTACCATTGTACATACCTTACTGTGGACCTGACGTGTTAGCTGTCAGACTGCATTGTCTGCCTGCTTTTTCCTAACATGTCAGTTCTTTCAGATTTCTCTATAAGTTTTTCCTGTATAGTTCATTTTCTCCCTGCTGTTCTTCATAATACCGTCCCCTGCAATCTCCAAAGGAATCCTGTATGTTCTTGCTGCATCATTTTTGCAGCGGCACATAGCAAAGTTAGAAAGAAAATACAGGAATAAGACTGAATGAGACTTGCATCTGCATAAATGGAGGCTTTGGGAAAAGGGAAGATGGTGAGTTTCAGAGCGTGTATGTGTCTCCTCATGCCCAGTGATTGCAGTTAGAATCCTTTCCAGTTTCCCTTTGCAGCATCCTTGGGTGCTGCAATGCAGTCCCCATCCTTCCATATAGATGGATCTGCTTTCAGAGAGAATTTTTGCAGAGAATTAAGAGCCCCTTAAGTAGTTGGGATGGTTGCTGTTGAGGAATGAGAGATGGTCTCTCCTGGTGGGCTGACCAGAAAGCCCCTGCAGAACTTTCATCCGTTTCGATAGGGTAGTGTTCTTGAGGGGTGTGACTACATTAATTTTATTGTATTTATTTGTTCAATTTATATGCTGTGCTTCTCAGCAAAGGCTCAAGGTGGCTTACAGTGAGGGAACAGAATAACTTTTACAACAGCACAAACAAGAGAACAAAACAACTTAAAAGGCGACAAGAATAGCAACATAAAACAGAAAATCCTTAAATAATATCCCAGCCTAGCTTTATTTGTTAAACACCTGCCTGAATACAGCACTTCCAAAAGATGTCCAAGCCTGCCAAAATCCAAGCTTCAAGAGAGGGAGTTCCAGAGCTATGGAGTGATTGCTGAGAGTGACCTCCCATGCGTTTTCACCAGGTGGATTTGATACAGTGACAGTACTTGCAGGAAGTTGAAGGTCTGCCCATAGGGATTGTGATGTAGCATAAGGATTGTGATGTGCCATAAGGAAAAAGGCGGTCTGTTAGGTGTGTTGGGTCCAGACCATTTTGGGCCTTACAGGTCAAAACCAGTGGGAGCCAGTGCAGACTGGAGCCTGGGAGTTACGTTCTTCTGGCAATGCACCGTGGCAGAAAGTGGGATGCTGCAGTCTGCATCAGCTGCAGCTTTTGGATGGCTCTCCAGGGCAGCCCTCCATAGAGTGCATTGCCACAGTCTAGTCTTGAGGTTACAAAGGCATGGATGATGGTGACCAGATCTGAATCTGAAGGAAAGAGTCCTGCACTTCTCCCCGGGCACTCCTAGCTACCACTGCCATGTGAAGATGTAGATGCAGAGGAGGATCTAGGAGCACCCCAAGATACAAACCTGAAAGACAAGTGGAGGCTGAACTCCATTCATGTTAGCTGTCCCAATTCCTACTAAGTCATGCAGTCTGCTCACCACCATCAACTCTGGCTCATCTGGATTCAGTTTCATTAATTCACCTGCATCCAATTTCCAACTACAGCCAGACACTGGGAAAGGACTGAGGGCCAGGCCTGGGTCAGACGAGAGAGAGAGCTGGGCATCATCAGCGTACAGGCAGCACCTCATTCCAATCTTCGGACAATCTAATGATGATAAGATTGTGGCATATTGTTTGCCCATGTTGGCAAAGCATTTGCATGTTGGAGTGAATGAATTGTGGAAGTTGCAGTAAGTTGCTGTTGCAAGCTCAGTTACATGGTAGGGGGAAGTTCTGTGGGTCTGAATATGTTTAGTCTTAAGGAATATGGAAAGCTAAATGCAGCTTGGTCTGGTCATTCTGGGGGTGGAAGATTTCCTAGGGAGAAATGAACTGGTGTAATATGCTTATTATTTCTTCACTGTTGAAAAATAGGATTTTTATTGACAGCCAGCAGAAGCAGCTTCCTCCTTTAGCTGGAAGAGAAGATCTCTGATAATTGGATGCAGTGATCATACTCTTTAATTGTCCAGCAGACATGTTCTTCTCTTGTACCTGGACAATTTGAAAGCTTCAGACATTGTAGAATGCGACTTTCTACCTCAAAATTTAATACCAGAGATCCATGCTAAGATCTGCAATTTGGTCACCTCTGATTATAGTGCAAGGTGTGGTCCCAGAAGTATAGATATAAATCAGGGCTGTGATTTGTTGGGCCCTGTGGGCTGGATGAAGGGCACTGGGCTGTTGAGATTGTCCTGGATTCAGCATGTGAGGTCAGAGGGCTAGTTTGGTACAGGTGCTACATGCAGCGGGTGCCCTGGACTGGTCACATGTGCTCCAGTCCCACATGCAGTACGTGCCA